CCTCGATTTACGGCGGATCCAACCTATGGGGCGATACCTCGAGTCAAAAGAGTCGAAATAAAATACTAAACCGGAAGCGACGACGAGATAGGGAGCACTCGAGCAACAGCCTGTCCAGCATTGATCTATCGGCCGCTGTCCAGGACATTGGAGACAAATTCATAGAAGTGATTGGAGTGGAGAACTGTATGCATGTCGGACAGGTCAAGGCTGGGCTCAGGGCTTCCGGACGACGACTCGCCCAATGCAGTAGTGTTGTCATCAGGTATTTGTCGAGTCTTTCCCGTCATTCGTGTCAATATTCTTATTGATTCTCTCGCAGATCAAGGAAACGATTTCCGATGCAAATCGATGGCGAGCCGTGGATTCAGCCGCCCTGTACTGTAAGCGCATGCCTTTTGTCTCGTTTTGTGACATTTGTTTAAATCGGTGCCAAATCTTATTTCAGATCCATATTTGCCACAAGAATCAGATGCCAATGTTGATGGCGGCCCCACCTCTGCCAAAGTCACGCTCTGCCATCTCTTTTATTCGAAGGTATTGTACGATAATTTTCTTGAGATCTTATTAATATTGACAACCAATACAAATACATTAGATGTTGTCGACAGTCCTCTATTGAAGAGATCGATGACATAGAGAACTCGACTTCTTAGCCATGTCTTAGTTGTCACACCATCGCAGTGATCATCGCATCTGCTTTTCTCGACTGATGCCTCAAATTAGATTGAAAACATATTTTTGCGTCAAGTACTCAATTCTCATCCCAAGATTCTTTGAACACAATTCTTAAGCTAACATATTATATGATTATATCTACGAATCCGTCACTTCTTATATTTGTTGACTCATTGACTCATTTAAGTGATTGCAAAGTCTTTCTTAATATAAGGATTTGTATATAGAATAAGAAAGGATTAAATTTTCAATTACTATATTCATACTTCACTGTTATTACTGAGACTGTTATAAGAAAGTTTAGTCTATGAAACCTATTGATACTATTCATTCAAACATGTTTTCCATAACTTTTGGTCTGAAGTCAAATATCAGCCAAAAACGACATTTTTAAAGGATTTTCGCCGAATTTTATTATAAAAATCATAAACAGTGCCAAAGAATGAGTCAAAGAGATATCTCGACTGAAATTAACTTAAATTATTAATATTTATATGTAATATATATTATATTATATACAGTTATATATAAGAAATTGTATAATAATTGCGGATATTTGAAGAGAGAACATTTTTCTTTTGAAAAATTAATTACGGTATCAATTATTAAATTGACATTCCTTTAACATGTTAAACACGGTATGCCTTATATGCTATTTATTCATATTTAATTACTCTGTTATTTCACTAAATCTCTCAATACTTCTATTATTTATTTGCTTTCACTTTGAGATAAATATGAAATATTATCTGTTTATTATTTTTTATTCTATTGATTTATCATAAAACTCTGTAAATTATCAATTTATTAGATTATGTCAAACGGATTTCAATAGAAATTATTTATAAATCAAGCAAAGAATTTATATGAACTATTGAATTACAAATGAGATCTATTATATAATTGATATATTAATATTGTGAAAACTACATTCAGGATACAGAATAACAAGAATATAATGGTTAACTCTGATTTAAACATAATTTATATAATTTAATTTTGAATTGCATTTATGTTTTTTCTATCTAAATTGTTTCTACGATAAATGAATTGACTAAAAATTAAACTCTATTTGACTTCTAGTTATTGACAAATATTTGACTTGTAGTGCATTATTACTTTCAATTGATTTATAACTCCTTTTGATATTTTATAAAATAATTATTTATTTAAAGATTTTAAATTTAGATTAAATCTTTGATTTATATTATAATTTATTTATTTAATCAGCACATTGTTTATTATTAAATAATTTGTTTAATTTTTTACTTGAATTGTAAATTCACACAATTTGTATGAATTCAAAATGAACAATTCTGAGATTTATGAAATTGACATTTAAAAAGGAGTAATAAAAGAGAAATTACAAATTATATAAATACTAAGCTTATGTAATAGTAAACCCTTCTATTGTAAAGTACTTATAGATATTAATTTGTTATTTAAATATTGCTAATCGCTTAAATTTTTATGCTTCGCCTTAATTATAATTTTTACGGAAAACCATTTATTATCTCTTAATATACGCTAAGGTCTCGCTTCCAACGAAAAATACTTTTTAAATGACTTTTCGCAACGAATATTTCAATTAAATAGTTTTCACGAATTTGTTATCCTAATTATTCAACATTTATCGCATTGATTGTGTAATTATTTATTTAAAAAACTGCGAAAAGTTTGTAATTTCACATATAATTTCACGTAACAAATTGTAACAAATTGTAACATATTTTCTCATATATCAATAATCGATGAGTTTTTATTATGTATAGAAAAATTCAAAGTTTAGATGAATTTGATGGTAAAAAATGTTTTATATATAGAATGACCAAAAATTGCAAACAATTTAACGATTATTCTTTGCATACAATCTCTAATGGCTTGAAATAAATATAACAAAAAATAGTTTTTATGTAAAAATAACTTCAAAATAAACAAACATTTCAAGTACGGTATGTAAACAAATTTAAAGCTTATTATAAAAACCACAGACTTTTCAAATAAAACCTACAAATCCAAAGGCATTCCTACAAAACTTCCATAATTTCATCGATTTGTGTGTTTGGTCTTAAAGTTGGTCCACATATCCGACATATTATGCTAAATATGTATTCATTTTTTGCTTCATTTACTGTATGACTGAAATTTTACCTCAAATTTTATGTTATTTCACATTTCAGTTAACACTTTATATCTATATTTTTCATTTCTAATACTTGTTATAAAAAAGCATTTTTAAAGAGAATTATGAAATGTGTTGTGATTTATATTAATTGTAAATAAAGTGTTATAAAATGCATAATCAGTGCCAAAAGGGATGTAAAACACGATGACTTCCTTTAAATATTTTTAGCTTTTAATATATACAAAAAAATGTTTTGTATTTATTAAAAGTTATGATTGTTTTTATTGTTATTGTAGACTAAAAGATATTTAAAATTATTTATTAAAAATAACAATAATCATTAAAAATTCATTTTACTCATACCGGTAAATGTGAATTATTTGCTAGATGAACTAGATGAACCAGTACTTTTGGAAAGCTGTTGAAGTTTAATGACCGTATTCCTGTATCACCATTACGTAAGTCTAAACGCCAATAAATTGATTGCAAGTCCAGAATCTGAACCATTTGTATGATTCACATAATGAATGGATTAAATTTTATTCAAATTGATATATTATATAAATTGATATAAATTGTTTCTTTATTTTTAAAATATATTATAAATAAATTACAATAAATATAACGACTGTAAGAGTCCATTAGCTCAACAGTAATATGAAAATCTTCACTATTATACAAACAATTGATTTCATGGTTAATGTCATGTGAAGAATATGTTGTCCACGAAATTGGAGAATAACTGAGGTTTTGGTGGTGGGAATGGTTTGGACACAAACTCTTTGTCAAAAGAGATGATACTATCAGCTAAAGTGTTTGTATAACAGTATCGCAAATATCCTTCATTTTGCAAAGCGATGGCCAACTCTTTCTGATGATTAGACATCAACTCATCGTTGATAACCATTAAGAAGTGTTTGCGTTCGCGAAGCACTTCCAGAGCAGTTCCGGCGCCTGAAAACCAATCATACGTTACATATAAGACACCACAAGACATGACATGTGGACTGACCCGCGTGTCCGATCACCACATCTGCGGCCCGCATGTCGTCCATAATACTAGTCTTGTAGTCAAATGTCTTGATATTAATACCAAATTTGCTGGAATCAAGTGATGGACAACTGGAT